TTATATATATATATATTATATAATTCTAGATTGAAATAGTTTCACTAGTGTTTGTTTCTTTCAATGGCAGTGTCAGAAGATTGCTAATTAATTTGTGACAATACTCACTCTCTCTCTCTCTTTATATATATATATATATATATATATATATATTATATATATATATATATATATATATATAATAATATATATATATAATATATATATATATATATCTAATGGAAAAGATTTTTTGAGTTGTGAGGGCAACAATGGTTGATGATTTAGAATTTTGCCTTGATTGCACATGTTTGAACATTGCTCCCCATTCTTGTTCGAGTTTGAACATTGCTTCCCATTCTTTATTAGACGGCTGATTTGTGCTGCATTCTTTTGCCTCAAAATCACTAAATTTTGCATATTATTTTTATTGGTAACATCTCTTTTGATCACGCAGAACCAAGTGTCTGCTTATAATGGGGTTGATTTCTATGTTATATATACATTAGTATACACAGGTTCCGACCAAAGCTCTTTGGGAAGGGCTTCTTCTTAGCCTTTGACTGACAAGCTGCTATTAGGACTTCTCTGCTCATAGTCCGCAGCTCGAGGTCTTGGTGAATACATATCCAGTTATCTCTTTACTATTGAAATTGAGTTGCACTGGCCATGCGCAAAAAATAACAGAGACGACAAATCCTCGCGATGCCATGAGTGGGGAGCAGCGTACAGCCTGCGATACGACGAGAGACAATTATCATATTATTTAGATATGGGAGGGAGATTTAGAAGAATGCGACAATAACTCCATAATATACCCCCCGTATATCTACACTATCTATCTGATAACTGTGTGACTTCTATTCGCAAGTTGAGCCTATCAATTCTACCTCATGTACTACCATCTTTCTCCAATCTTAAACATATCATAACATACACTAGACTACACGCGCTCTCTAAAAGCAAACCCTGGAAGCCTCAAAGCTATTACTGGTTAATTTAATTAATAAAATTTAAAATATTAATAATTAAGTAAATTAATTAAATAATTAAAAGTATAATTAGACCATAAATTAATCATCAAATTTAACTTAGTTAAATAGTTATTAATCTAATAATTAATTTTAAATTCATATAAACTTAATTAATATAAATAAAATAAAAATTATTAAATATATAATTAAAAATATAAATAATATTTAAATAATTAATTTGACAAAATTCTTAAATGATTAATGTGATAATTAATAATATAACTTATAATTAAAATTAACAAAAAATAATTAATATTTAATTATATTATTTGTAGAATTAATAGTTAAATAATTAATTATTTCAAAAAACTTAACAGGATTAAATATAATTTCACATTAAAAGTGATTATTAAATATTATAAATAATAATTAAATAATTAATTTTCAATAAAATATTTAAATACCTAATGAGATAATTAAATAAAAATGAATAATTCAAATAAGTAATAATAATTTAATTAACACAAGATAATCAAGACTTTTCCTAAATTTCCACCGGCACTTCCGAGTTCTGAATTCTTAACACATAAATGAGAGAATCATACTCTATTTACCTTTTATGAGTATGGCACTAATCTATATAACTGTTAAATGATTAGGCCTTCTGAATTGTATTTATGCTATTGATACTACATCCTTCACTAATTTGGAAGTGTTTTATTCATAAAAGAAATTTCAATTTGTTTTTTCATAGCAATACGGTCATTCCACCAACACATTAAAATTCCATAACAGCCATTTAAAACCAAAGGTTAAATTCTAAATACTCGGGTATGTTGTATGATAGAAAAGTCCCTCTCAAAATTGAAGGAAAAATTCTATAAGATGATGTTGAGACTTGCAACACTTTATGGTGCAAGATGTTAGCGATTAAAAGAGAAGCATAATATTAAGTAGAGTGTTGCAGAGATGATGATGCTCAGGTGGATTAGTGGCTTTACTTTTAGAGACATAATATGAAACGAGCATATACTGGAAAATATTAGAGTATCTCCAATGGAAGAAAAGATTAGAGAGTTATCTTAGATGGTTTGGTCACAAAAAAATGGAGGCCCTCCGATGACCCGGTTAGGAGAATAGATGTAGTAGATTTGGCTTATATTAAGAAAGTCGCCTTAAACGAAACCTTAATATCATATGGTATATCCATTTTAAACATTGTAATGAAAAAAATGAAAATCATAAGCTCGAGCATTCATTGACATCAGAAATTATTTTGTGCTTCTCAGTTTTGCTTCCTTATAGTTTTGAGGCAGAGTAGCATATTCTCTTATAGTTTTGCTTCCTTATTTTGTGCTTCTCAGTTTGACCTTAAATTCAAAGATTTGGGTAACATCCCGAGCCTTTCAAAAGATTTGTATGACAACATCTCATATGTCCTTTTGCAATAAATATGAACATAAAAGTATCTCTATATTCTGGAGTCATGGAATTCCACAACCATGACATAATCATGGAGTTCGATTCTTCGCATGCCCAAAAATTAGGATCACCTTCTTATGGTCCAACGCTAAGTAATTCAACTTTCCTTTACCTTTCAACTAGGACTTCACAAATTTAACGCTTCAAGTGATTCTTTCCATTTAAGGGATAGGAAAGTTACATATTTTGGAGATCTCTTGTTTCTTGGTGGACCATAAAGTCCTCTATTTGTTCAAAACTTCGGGAGAAATTACCTTCAGACATTATGACGGCAAAAGATAATGACGAAGGCCATATCAAACAAGGCAACGATGAAAACTGAATTGGCTATGTATAAGATAAGATAACAAGGGAAGGCTCGCAATGAAGCCACGACAGTAGAAAAAAAAAACTCAAATTTCTGGCAATGACAATGAAGGCTCTGATACAATGTTAAATTCAAAGAATTTGAGAAGAAAAAGGCTTAATTATATTGCTCAAGTTTAACCCTATTTACAGATATGTACAATATATGTTGAAAAAGAAACAAATAATTACAAAATCATATATAATAGCTCTAATATAATCCTTCCTAAATCAGCCACCTTAATATGAAAGAAGATCAGCGCAATTCAGGAAAGCCTCCCGCGGATCCCCATTCTAAACATTGGATCAAAATGCCAAGGGACGGTGTAGATTAGCACAATCCATGTGAGCCTCCATGGATCCCTATACTAGCTTTGGGATCAAAATGCCAAGGAATGATTGGATTTAAAATATATATGACGGCTAGAATTTAACACGAGTGTGAGTCCATACATTTATTTAAGATGATACGAGTGTAACTCTATAAATTTATTTTACATGAAATAAATGTGAAGAGAATATAGTTATATGATGATGTACATATTTATTTGTATTTTATAATCATAGTTTACTTAATAAATATTTCTAATGTTATCTCCTTAATTGGAACCTAATTATCATTTTAAGCACTTTTGCAATTATTTTATGCTAAAACAAACAACTTCAAAATATTTCAAATACAATACACTTATTTTACACTTCATACCTTTTACTTTGCATTCCTTCTTTTTTTTTTTCAAAAATTTCAAATAACCCCATCAATATAGTAAACCACATTCTATTATTTGATTTACCTAATGTTGATACACTTAATGATTAAATAATCTTTCATGAGTCAGGCTCCTAAGCAAATCCTTAGATCTTCTTACTGTTGTTATCATTATCTCTTCCTTAGTTACAATAAATCTCTTAATTTTCAAGATCAAAGTTACATATGAAGGAACCAACGAAATCTGGACGAGCATCTTCATTCGTAAATGGGAACTATCTCCAATTTTCTTTTAAGAGAAACAAAAAATAATCAACAAAGTATACATATTTTTATTTATGTTGACTTTTTATTCCCATTTAAGACCATGTGCCACGTCTCTTAAGTCAACAGATTGAAAATAAATGCTCATGTAATCCTTCAGGTTAGATTAATCACCATGAGAGTTTGAGCCGGGTTTAACAGGTCATTAATTGTGAATTACATTGAACGGACTTGAAATCAAAAAGTTGGAGAAGAAGCAGCCTTGCTCAACCCGCAAACTTGAGCTACCGAACTCGTCCAAGATCTCAAGTAGTCCATTCGGAAAGGCTATTCACCTAAGACAGTTTCTCAACCTGAGTAATCATTAGCCGATTAGGAATGCTCACTAAAAGAACTTGTCATAGGTACCCATCCTCAATTCAAAACTTGCTCGAATTTTCCGTATAATAATCGATAACAAATCAAATTTAGATGCTGCACAGCTATAACTACAGTAAGTTCAAGACATGTACTTACTATGCAATTGCACTGTGTAGCTAATTTTGTACCGTCAACGTTAGTCCTCGCCTACAAATAAAGGGTTAATAGTGGAACAAAATCATCTTATAATCTTAAACTTTGTAGAAAACTCAATTCCAGTGATGTTCTTCTCAAAATCTCTCTAAGATTCTCCTTAGAATCTCATAGAAACACAGTTTCAAATGCAGGTAGAAGATTCATCTCAGGGTAGATAATTTGGAACAATATAGTAATTGAAGTCACCAGAAATACTTTCCAGAGGAAACCCAACAAAAAATGGGGTCGAACCATGAGAAGCACCAAGCAGACAACACACAGGGGCACCAGGTTTGCATACATACCCAAACATAACATTCAAAACAAGCAGACATGAAAGCCAGATATGATTCTCCATACATGATGATAAGCCAACAAATCAGATTCCTTGATGATTAGAAAAACGAAGCAGAACCAGCAGGATAAAAAGTAAAAACCAAGATGATGTCCAAGAAATTCTAATGAAAAACTATGCCATTGGAACTTGAGGGAGGAGCTGGTTAGTTTAGCCATCTTAATATGTTTATTTTTGTCTCTCTTTCCTGTAATAGATCAAGTAATTGGTCATCCATAAAATCTAAAATAACCCAATCAGAAACACTTTTAGCTGCTGATGTGATCTTAATATTTTTCCTCATCGTTTAATTAATCCGCAAGCAGCAAACACAATATCTTAAATCGAACATATGGTGTCACACGAATTATTTATATATAAAAAAAAACTCATTGATATCAACGGATAACCAAATTGAAACTGAAGCAATACACATTACTAATTCATACACAAGCTCAAAACTTCCAGTAAAAGGTATACACTCCAAGGAGCATAGCCTAATCTTGATGTGTGGTTACCCTTTCAAGAGTTCCCATCGCATGCCAAGTTCTTTATTTAAGCATACATCTCATAGATATCATTCTAATCATATCACGCGACTAAAAATTCCCATGATATTCGATACTTGTTTACCCAACTACGGGGATTCTGGCAACGTTCCCCGCCGAATCAACAAAGATCCGAACGCGCCATGGGACGAAATCCATCGTAACAGCTTGACCCACTTTCAGCACCTGGAACTTAGCTGTAGGCATATCTTTCCGAATCCTCTCCTCGGCCAAATCCGGCTTAAGTCCCACCACTTCCGACCACTTAACGCGGGCTGTACCATTAATGTTGATTGAGATACCACACTGTAACTCAACTAAAAAAGAAGATGATGAACTCACCTGGAGCCATGGATACGAATGCGAAGAGGAGGAAAAGGGTGAGAAGCGCCATGCAGACGCCGGAGACTCTCTTCGGTAACGTTGATTGAGTTACTCGCACTGTAACTCAAGGAAAAATAAGAAGATGAACTCACCTTGGAGCCATGGATACGAATGCGAAGAGGAGGAAAAGGGTGAGAAGCGCCATGCAGACGCCGGAGACTCTCTTCGGCCTCATTGCGGAGATTTCGATGGTGATCGCCATTCCTCTTGCATTTTTAAATAGGGGAAGAGGATATAGGAATATTAGGTGTTTGAAGAAAATAAATATAATATATTGTATTACTAAAAAATGCTATCATGGGCGATGATGTAGGAAAGCAATGCAATAAACTTTGATGTTTTAAAATATATCAATAAATATCCTTAAAAAACATGAAGAAAAATAATACATATCAAAGAAACTACAAACTTTTTTGACAAATTTTAGATATTTTTTTTTTTGGAAATCCGAACTTTGAACTTTGTAAATATGAACTATAGGAATGGATAATTGCATTCGTAAGGCAACATTTTTTTTTAATAGAAACAGAATAGAAAACATTGGACGAAGTTTAATAATTAGAAAAGTCTCAATTTGATACTAATGGCTAAACAAGACGTTCTAGTTTTGATAATTATAGCGGAATAAAACTTATAAATGCTTAGATAAATTACTACTAAAATATAGAAGAAAATTGAAAAAATGATCATGCTAAGTATGATATTAAAAAGATAGGCTTGTATAATTTAAGTATCTACCATATAAAATACAAAGTATATGCAATAATACGACATGGAGACTTAATAAGCTCATAGAACTTCAATAAAATTTAATTTACACTTCTAATACTCAACAAGATCCACATTACTTTTCTAAAAGTTGATAAATTTTATATTTGTGTGACGATTGAAATGTTCAGGATCTTTTGTGCGGTCATTTTTGGATAATTGGGAATGGACACTAGGTTACACTTCAAGATTTTGCCTGTATTTGATAGATTACAAAGACAACCTTAAGAGATACCCAAAGGAATAAGTACAATGGTTCAAAAATCTTTTAAGCTAATCTTGATTTTCGATGATTGAAAATTGAATGCATATTTTTTCTATTGTTTCGATTTAAGTATCTTACATATTTAAAATGCTAATTGAACCTTATAAACTCTGTACAAAGCATGTAACAAGCTAAGTATGTAAACGCATATATCATTTTAAGCTGATTTGAGTCTTCATGCTCTTGCATATTTTGGGGATGTCAATCTATAATTAGTTTTGTGAAATAAAATAAAAATATTCCAAAAGCAAAACACAAATAGTTCCATAAATCAAATGAAATTGAACATAAGTTCATCATGCAAAATAAAAAAGAAAAAAACATGCATCTTGCTTGTTATGACTATACAATATAATTATTGCATCGATATTTCTGATGGGAAGAATGACATTTTCAATTTCGCAATAGCTAGATTGCTGAATCAACCAATTAATAGTAAGACCAAATGTTTTGTTAAATTAAATTTGCATGTCTTGATTATAGTGGCAAATATGTAAATCATTTTGGCACATAGATTGATGTCATGCTCAAAACAAATTAAAAATTCTTTCACTATACATGTAAGCTAAAAACGGGACCTTTAATTAAGTGATGTAAATTTTACATCAAATTTGAAATCCATCGACCAAGCCTTGGAGATGAGTACTGGGTTGATGGGTTCACTGAGAGGAAGATAGATGAGTTCGGATGTTGTGTTTGGTGAGAGAGAGGTTGTACACCTATGTTAGTGTGTTTGGGGAGAGGGAGATGAGCGGGAACAAATAATGTGTTCGGCGAGAGGGAGAAGAGTAGCGTTTGGTGAGAGAAAGGTTCGTACACCTGAGTTGTTGCATTCGACTAGAGGGAGATGAATGAGAACTAATGATGCGTTTAGTAAGAGAGAGAAAAGCAATGTTTGGTGAGAGAGAGAGAGAGAGAGAGAGATTCGTACACCTGAGTTCCTGCATTCCGCGAGAGGAAGAAGAGCATAAACTATGGGTTTAGAAGTTTACTTATTACCTTTAATAAGTCGATCAATCAGAGCAGGCTCCAGATGGATTTACGAAAAATCCTCTAAGTCACTAACTCAAATATATTATATCACTAATGAGATTCAACTGATTGAAATTTTGTATTTGCATGCAATCCTTTCAAGTCAATTGAGCCATCAAATGTACAACAGAATCCAAATCTAACCACCTCTATAGTGACAATTGGATTTTTTCCCCATGCTTATCAAATTAAAAAACAACCAAGTAAAATAAAAAATTATCACCAAATCATTTCCCTCTGAAAAAAAAAAAAAAACTGATTTGGCCACCAAATATTTAAATTTTAGGAATTAGAAAATCAAATAAAGCAACAGAACATAGAAATGGAAAGACTAATTTTAAATAAAGTATCTAGATTCATATGACACACAATTGTACCAAACTCGTTTTTTCATGCCAATAAACACGAGTGTGCTAGAGCAAAATAAAGATCAAAACCAACACACCAAGTTGGTGATCAACTAAAATTATAGCAACAAATGAATGGCAATGGATAAATTTATAGTCTATGCCACTAAGTAAAAGTTTGAATTCTAAGCATTTTATGTTCAATGGAATGGTACATATCAAGTCAAAGATCAATAATCTGAAAACGAGGAATTGTTGGCTTCAGTAGTCTTGTATTATACTGAAACTCATAAATGTTGTCACCTATTTCCCATTGCTTTCATTTTTAATAACACCAAAAAAATGAAAAGAAAAATTGCAAAGAGAAATTTAGTTGATATTGCACATTGAAAAGTTAAAAATGAACATTATTCTTAAAAAATATTATGATAAATGATAACAGAAGGAACCTAATTCTTCTCATCCCTTGATAATGGAACATTTTCATAATTTTTGTACTATCCTATTCGGGCTTTTCTATAATTATGAGAGTTGCATTAGTAAATCATAATTATGCATCATCATTCAAAGCATGAAATGCAAAAAGAATTGAGAATGAAGCAATCTCACCAATTCATAATCATCTTGAACTTCAACTCTATCTCTCTCAAAGGAATCCCCAACCCATCACATTGGCCATATCACCCTCGTCGGCCATGTAATCAAAATCTTCACCTCTATTAAACGACATGGCACCTCATAGATGTTAACACATAATATAACAAAAAGAAGAAACAAATATCCTCTTTTTTATATTGTTCCCTTCCACAAATGTTGTACGATAACAATATACAAAATAATAAAGTTTTGAAAATTTTATATTTTTAATAAAAATTATGCGCTTGAAGGAGCCTAATGCCTTTAAGTTTGCTCAATTTGAAATTTTTTGGAATTACTTATGAATCTTGAAAGTTTTAGTATTTAATTGAATTATGAAATTACTTAATTAAAGAGATTTTGATGATTTTGCTCCAAACTCCTTGAAATTACTCCCCAAGGTCGAAGATGACCTGCAGAAGTATTTTCAAGGGTTTCAAATTTATTTGTGATTTTTAATAAATTTTAATTATTTAATTTAATTAATAAATATTTTCTTTTTAAATATTTAATTAAAGTCAAAATTGAAGTCCCCTGATGGGGCTTTTAATCTTTCTAGGTAGAGAATTTAATCATAAACAATTTGACATATTATTTGTATCTTTTGGAATTAATTTAAATTAATTATAATTTTTAAAGTTTTAGGCTACTTAAAAAGCCTAATTTTTTTACTTCATTAAAATTTTGACGTAATGGACTCCAAATTCAATTAAATTTAAACCTAAGGTGTATGATATAACTATGTTTAATGTTGCGAACTTTCACACATGTTGGGTGTGTGTAGATGAATGAATCATGGATGAGAGGAGGCTAGAGCAATATGTCTATATTGGGGCCGGCTCTTGCAACTATGCTATGATTTCAATCAAAATACTATGGCGAAGACGGTTTGCGATTTGAATTTATATTGACTTCAGGAAAAAAAATTGCAAGGTTAAAATATCGGCTATTACACAATCAACCCTAGTTCGAGAGAAAGCTCCTTATGACCTATCATATAGGAATGGTCAAAATGACCATCATGCCCTCCAAAATCAAATAAATGATTCATATTAAGTGTTTGGTTTTGAGGGATTAGAGGGCTAAAATTTCTTTGAAATTTGAGGGATATTTGGGCATAAAATTGGAATAAAAGGATGATAAAACATTGAAGTTTTGTTTGAATTATTTTTTAAATTAATTATTTAAAGTCGATTAAGGATAATTGATATCGATTAGATTTAAATTAAGCCAAGACATGTTAAATAGGAGCAATCGAAGTGGTTGAGGATAGAACTTCATCGAAATTTATTCAAATTAACTTGTAGAAGCTAGATTAAATTTATTTGATAAAAATTCAATGTGTTTTGAATAGTTAAAATTTCGCTCGACTCAAAATAATAATCAATTGACTCAATTTCATAATTGAGGACACGCCAACGTAAAAGCAAACTCAAATCGAGTTGAATATCTTCGACATCATCAAATCTAAGTTGTATATTCAAATCGACTACAATTAATTCATATTTAATTCAATATTGGTTTTAACGAAAGATCAAAGTGGTCCATTGCAAACTAAATTGAGGTCAACAGTCCCACCAACTATGGTCCCTCCGACCTATATGGCTCGACCACATTCTCTTTAAACACTTTTGCCTATCGACTACGATCCTCTGGCCTCTGTAGCTCGATCACAGTCCCTGCGACCTCCATTGCCCGACCACAGTCCCTTCAACCTCCATTGCTTGCTGACTATAGTCCCTAAACCACCATCGACCAACTGCAGTCCCTTTAACCTTCATCACCCGACTACGGTCTTTTTGACCTCAATCACAGTCATTATGACCTCCATCGTGACCATTCGACCACCATTGCTCAACAATTGTCTATTGAACTTCAATCGCTCAATAATGGCCCTTATGGCCTCCGTCATCCAGCTACGGTTTCTTCAACCTTTGTCACCGAACAATAGTCCCTAAATCCGACG